TACCCCTTCTTTTAATAGCCAGTTTGGAGTTCATGGAGTTACTTTATACTAGTGCAATGCAATGTGACAGTCTTATGTATCTTTGATTATGTGTTATACCAACTTTTACTATTCTATGCTAACTTTGCATATAAAATGTAGCAAGTTGAGCATTTAACTGAGTGTACTGTCCTTTTGAGCTACAATATAAAATACAAATTTTAAAACATTACAGTTTTGCAGAAGTCGTAGCTGTTTACATTGCAGGGTTAAACACACCTTTCTCCCAGACAGCCACAAGAGGCATCTACTGTGCAACAACCAAGTGAAACTGTCATGGTCCCTGGCTCACTGAGAGGTGCAACCGCACCCAACTGTTGCGACCGCGACGACAAACTGAGCTTACCTGCTCAGCAGCGAGTCAGGAGCCGCTCCGCCGGGTTCTCCTGGCCGCCTGCCTAAAATAAAGATGGCGCCGACCATGCGGTTGCGGCCATCGATACCTCCGCCCACCCCCCCCCAGGGTCACACGAACGTGAGTGTGACGTCACAACGTTGGCGCACATTCTGGTGTCAGAGGTCATCCTCTCAGGAGGCATATTTAAATCCCTAAAGCTTCCCAGTTCGTGTCCTGTCGTGGTTTCCATTCCTGGTTCCCGAGAGTGCGTTTTCTTGTCCTGTTTTTGATATTCCTGGTATTTTGACATTCGCTATTCCTGACTATTCTGATTTCTGGTTTCCCTGACTTGGCTTGTTAAACGGTATTGTATATTTCTGGCTTCCTTGACCTCGGCTATCTCTTGACCAAACTCTGTCCTTAACGTATTAGTCCAGCCATTCTAAGGACCGGTTTATGTTTTATACTTTCTGTTCTGTCTATGTAGATGTAACATAGTTCTGCGTGCTGGACCTCACTAGCAGCCGTGACATTAATACAGTCATAGTAAAGCATTACATCTAAACATTTGACTGGAGGCACATGTGGGGCTCACTGTGCATGCGCTTCCAGTCACCAATGGTACTCCATGAGGAACATTGGCAAGGAAGCAGTTTCTCCAAGCTAATGTTTGAGTAGGCACTGGCAGCAACACGAAGGGAGTGAAAACTTTTTTTTTTTTAACCAATTTTAACCCCTTAAGGACACATGACGGAAATATTCCGTCATGATTCCATTTTATTCCAGAACTTGTATCCTTAAGGGGTTAATTTGCAGGGGGTATAGTTAAATCTACTTGGGGGCTAGGGCACTATAACATTAGGAATACAGGCTTGTAAATATGTAGATGTATAATGTATAGGTAGAGCCAATATAATTAATGCATATCTATTACCAAAATGACTATACTCATTTTAAATGCTACCTCTTAAAATTCCAGATAGTTGGCTGAAGATGCTACAAATGAGTTTAAACCTATATTTTTGGAAGGGGAAACATCCAAGATTAAATCTTTCATTACTCTCTATAAAAAAAAGGAGAAAGATGGTCTAAACTTCTCTAATATTAAGTATAACTATTTTGCAAGCATAGTTATTCATATATATATATATATATATATATATATATATATAGTTGGAAACAGAATTTAAAAAAAGTTGATATGAGATGGAAACGATCGGACTGAATAATTTTAGTGTAACTCAAATAATATGGAATTGTTATTGTAAACCTCTAACAAACATTCAAAGCTATAATCTAAAACATTTAAATGAGGCTTGGGATTCTGTCAAAAAGATTTCTAGATGTTAAGGGAAAGATTTTGAGTTATTTGCCATTAGAGGTACTGGAGGCGAACTTGGAAAATTTTACATTAACAAATTGGAAAAGATGTAATATCATAACTATAGACCAGCTAATAGAAAATACTAAAATAAAATCATTCTTGGATCTACCAATAGAGTTTAAAAAGCTCAGATGAAGGAAGGTTAATTATCTAACAGTTAAAAATACACTGATGCAACATCTAAGGTTCAGCAAAACAGGAACAAATTAGGCTTTATGTAATATTTTTAATCAAAATAAAGTCCATAGAGTTCTTTCCAAAGCATTGGGTATGATCAAAATGAATAAAAATGACGATCAAATTAATGCTCTGGCACAGTGGGAAAATGAATTAAATATTCTAATTATGAGTATGGAATCACCAATAGACTTGAGGAAAGCTATTCACTGTGTAAATTTGCAGGAGACTCATTCTAAACTTATTAACAAGTGGTATATGGTACCTGCAAGGGTAGCTAGAATGTTTATTTTGACATCTGATATGTGTTGGAGGTGTCAAAAGAGTAGAGGCTTATATTTACATTTGTGGTGGAGTTGTACAGAGATAATGGCTCAATGGAAAAAGATATTCATTTTTATATATAAAATGATAAAACATAGGCTCAAGTTTGTGCTGGAGCTGACTCTATTACATCTGAGATGGCCTACCCTAAAAAAGATGGAAGAAAACTTAATTATACCTTGTTTTGTAGCTTTTAAAATTCAAATAGCCAGAAACTGGAAAACTAAAACAGTTCCAGTATGGAAATACATAATAAATCAATTAATGTTTCAATTACAAATGGAACTTAGACTCAATGAATATTCGAATGCTATTGAACAAAACAATGTAGAGATGAAGGATATGATTAATAAATTAACGTCAATGGAGTCCCCTGTGCAAGAAATTGACACTGCTTAGATTGATTAAAGGATAAAATCCATGTGAACCTGCCAATCCAAACCGTATAACACTCACAATGCAATAAATGTTGTTGTGGTTATGTAAATTTATGTAAATATATATGATTGGTAGATGTTTTACAATATAGACATAATCTCATTCAAATGAATTGAATGTATGTTATATGTATAATGTCATATAAAGAAAATAATTTAATAAAAATAATAAAAAATAAAAAAGGGATACATGCTTGTATTTCTAATGTTATAGTGTTCCTTAAACAATAGGAGTCTTAGAATTCTTTCTGTTTATTGTTGCTTTGTGTTTAAGCTTGCTCTGTACATTAAATACTGCATTGCAAAAAAAAACCAAAAAAAAAAACCATATCTAGGGCAAACTAGTTGATTGTGAAAATATCTCCAGCTGACAAATCTTGGTTATTTTGACGTGGAATGTGTACTCTGATTTTTCATTCACTGTTTCGTGAATAAACCCTTATGAGTACTTGGAGACCGCTTCTTGCTTCCCTAATTTACTACAGTGATTATATCGCAATTTAAATAGATTAACAGCTTAAATTGTTATTATACAACAATATATTTTTTCGCAAAAAATCCTGAATGTATACAAAATAAATTACAGCTGTAAATAACACCAACAAGTAAACAGCACTTTTTCCCAATATTGTTGTAATCTGAATATATAATTATACAGACACGTGCACTGAACAACAGATTTTTATTTAAATCAAGGAGGGCAAAGGTCAGTGGGCTTGGCTGGAATTCTGGCAATATCTCTGGAAAATCGTTATTTTTAAAATAAGGAAGTGGCACAAACTGTTGTGAAAACATGGTTTTGGAATGATAGATACAATGACAAAATAATAGCTACATGATGTGTGTTATTTAGAGTTATAAAGGGATTGCAGCTCTTTGCAATGCACCACAATGTACATTTACTTTAATAATTCATAGCCAATTTAGGATTCCTGAAGACAGTCTCCTTAGTGACTGAAACAAATAGAAGTAGTAGTCATAAACAAAATGAGGATTACATTGTGCACAAAACACGGGACCAATTTCATCTTCTATTTCATATTCAGAAAAAGAGCTGGATAGAACATCAAAACTAAAGTCATGAAAAGTAAACATGCATATGACCTAAAATTATGTGCAAAGCAATTGTTTTTATGTTTAATCAGTAAGCACTTGGTTGGAGCTGTCAACACTACAGTGCACAATTTGATTTAATTTACATGGCTTGCTTTGGCTGTGCCAGGACAGCCAGACAAGCAATGCAAATTAAAAAGTAAAAATGAATAAAAATTGTTTTTAAAAAAGTGCATAACTCTTAGCTACATTTCGATTGCTATTAAATTGTGCAAAAGCTTGCATGTAACAGTTATTCTTGAAATTTTGCAATTTGCTTGTGAAATCACTACACGCATTTTGAAATGCTATACTTATTTAATAAACTTTAATAGAACCATATTTGAAACTATGAGGTTTGAAACATTCACACTGAAGATAAATTGAATATTGTCAAACAAATATTAGAAATGTACACTTCTCAGTATGTACCAATGGGTAATAAATATAAAGAAAACAAATTGAAATCAGTGTGGCTTAGTGATAAAATAAACCAATAGATTACAAATAAGAAAAGAGCATTTAACGCATTAAAATAAGACAAATCAGAGGTATCTTATCTAAAGAAGCCAATAATACGTACAAAAAGGCAATTACAGTGGCTAAACTACACTGAAATTAGAGATGGTGTGTTAGTTAACAAGACCAGGAAAAGACAGACATTTTAAATAACTATTTGTCCTCAATATATATTAAAAGGGAACCTATGTCAAAAAGATATGGAAATGATTGCTGCAAAAACCTTGCAGAAAAATTGTGATTGGATGACTCAAGACAAGCTGCTACAGCAACTAAAAAGTTAATGTAAGCAAAGCCCCAGGGCCTGACGGTATTCACCCATGAGTACTTAAGGAACTAAGTGTGCAAATAATGAAACCTCTGTTTTTAATATTTCAGGATTCTCTTCTTTCAGGAATTGTACTAGAAAATTGGATGAAGGCAGATGTGGTTCCTATATTCAAGCAGGGTTCAAAATCTTTGCCTGGAAATAATAGACCAGTGAGCTAGGAAAGTATTGGAAGGGTTATTAAGGGATAATTTTCAGGAATTCATTGGGAAGAACATTATAACCAAAAATCAGACTGGTTTTATGAAACATACCATATATACTCGAGTATAAGTCGAGTTTTTCAGCACATTTTTTTTGTGCTGTAAAACCCCAACTCGACTTATACTCGAGTCAATGTCTGTATTATGGCAACTTACTTAGTCCTGTTGGGGGCTGGCAGAGAGCTGTTACCTTCACAGCAGCTCATGTCAGCTCCCTTCTCTCTCTCCTCGGTCAGCTCCCTTCTCCTTCAGTGTAAGTCTCGCGAGAGCCGCGGGGTCATAGCGTTGCCACGGGTTACCGCGGCAACACTCTGCACGGCCGCGAGACTTACCCTGGAGGAGAAGGGAGCTGACCGAGGAGAGAGAAGGGAGCTGACAGGAGCTGCTGTGAAGGTAAGTAACAGCTCTCTGCCAGCCCCCCTCCTGCATAGCCCATCCACTGGACCACCAGGGAATGAGAGCCCCTCTCCCTGGCCATCTAACAAGCAGGGAGGGAGGACGAATAAAAATAAATAAAAATGTAAATAATAAAAAAAAAAATAATATTTAAAAAAATAATTAAAAAATAATAATATAACAAAAAAATTATTAAAATAATAATTTAAAAAATAATAATAAAAATGCCCACCCCCCACCAAGGTTCTGCATTACATACACAAACACACTCTGCATCACACACACACTGCACTCATACACACACACTACACTCATACACACACACACTGCATTAATACACACACACTGCATTCATTATATACACACACACACACTGTAAATAAATTAATATAATTTTGGGGGGATAATTTACCAGTAGCTGCTGCATTTCCCACCCTAGTCTTATACTCGAGTCAATAAGTTTTCACAGTTTTTGGGGGTAAAATTAGGGGTCTGGACTTATATTCGGGTTGACTTATACTCGAGTATATACGGTAGGTCATGTCAAATTAACATAATTGCATATTATGAAGAAGTAAGTAGAAATATAGACCAGGGTGTTGCAGTGGATATGATCTGACTGGATTTTGCCAAGACATTTGATACGTTCTTCATAATAGTTTAGTGTTTAAACTAAAATAAATTACTCTAGATGAAACTTCTGGTTCTTGGGTAGAACACTGACTTAAAGACAGAGTACAAAGAGTTGTCATTAATTGTAGATTTTCATTTTCAAGCTGGACAAATGGGTTAAATAGTGTCCCTCAGGGTACTGTTCTGGAATCGCTTCTATTCAACATATTTATAAATGATTTTTAAACAAATGGAGGTCATTTAGTTACTCCAATGGCCACTGGAGGGAATTCCCGCCTGCCAACGTCAAGGCAAACCCCCCTAGACGGGTCCTACTCTGACCCTTTTTTTACCTTGCTTCCTTGAGCTTCTGGCAAAAATATCTCTAGTGAGACAGAAAGGGGTATTTTTTATATACACCCCTAAATACTTGTTAACCCTTAATAGGGAACACATGCGATGGGTGGCAGCATTGTAACCTAACTGTATGATACAAAAAGTGTATACAAATACAAAAAAAAAGTCCTGCACTCACTCCCATCACTCCTGGGCGGCAGCAATGACTACAGTACACATCAGCTAATACATATTGTAAAAACCAAAGAAAAAAAACGGACCTGCGCGCTCTCTTTAATCCCTATGTATATTTAAACAAATAGAGGTCATTTAGTTACTCCAATGGCCACTGGAGGGAATGCCCACCTGCCAACGTCAAGGCAAACCCCCCCAGACGGGTCCTACTCTGACCCCTTTTTTTTTTTCCTTTACAAAAAACTTTGTCAGGTAGGCATTTCCTCCAGTGGCCATTGGAGTAACTAAATGACCTCCATTTGTTTAAATATGCATAGGGATTAAGGAGAGAGCGCAGGTCCGTTTTTTTTTCTTTGGTTTTTACAATATGTATTAGCTGATGTGTACTGTAGTCATTGCTGCCGCCCAGGAAAAAACATCCCTAAAGGGTGACTCACACATTTGGGACGTACTTGTTCGGACTTAACGTTTTCAAACAGCAATCTCAAACAATCAAAAACAGATATCTGGCTAAAGGTTATGATAAGGGAGATATAAAGAAGGCAGAAAATTTTGCCTTATCTAAACATATAGCTAGATAGATAGAATTTTAAAAAAAAACACAAACATATCAAAAATGTTTGCTTTTATAACAAAATATAATTCGCAGGCCAAAAAAAATAGAAAGTATTTTTTTAAAAAAATCACTGGTATATTCTGTAAAAAGGTGAGTTCCTTAACCAAATTTTACCCAACAGACCCACAGTAATCTACAAAAAAAAACAGACAATTTGAAGAACAAATTGGCTCCCAGTGTATTACCAAAAAATAAAAATAAAAATATTCTCAACCAAACTCGTATTCTAACAAAATAAATATTACATGGCTTTTTTCCATTTGGTAAATGCTCCACATCTATTTTTTAAAAAAAGCAACAAATTAATAAACGTGTTAGATTTGATACTTTGCACCAGGAAAGTGGCAAGTTCAGCTTTCAAGCCCTCAAGTGACCCACTCCCAGTGACTTTCACAACACCTGGGCTCTAGAAATTGATATACTAGCATGACTATAATTTGAAGAGGAAGTAGTTGCACACACATATACCCCTCTCCATTGCTGGAGTTGATTTTAAAGGTTAGAAAATTCTCATTTGTTAATGGCTATAGCTTAAAGTTATATATTTCCTGTTATACATTTGCTGGTGATTTTAAAATGCAGCATTTGGAAGCGCTGCTTGACTTGGACAATGTTATCTGAATACCTGATCTCCTATTAGTCAACTGGCAGAAAAGTCCTCAGATCTAACATAAATGCCCAACACAACTGAAGTAATCAGCGGCCTATAGTTACTTGATTGCAAACACAGTGGTAGCAACATTGCAATGTAAAAGCTTGATAAAGACACCTTTACAGACAATCTTTATTTTATGGAAATTATATTAGAATTCTGTGCTTTGGGAAGACCAGTTCCATTGCACTCTCAACTGAAGGTCTATTTTCCTAGTAAACGAGTATTATTGTCATTGCTGAAGCCTAGATTTCACCACCCAAGTATGGCAATCAGAGCGTTTTTGTGTACAATTTGGTTTCACCTAAACATATCTTTGGGTAACTTTATATCCGTATCACTCCCTACATAAGAAATGTTAGGCCCTCAAAGGTCCAGAGAAGAAAAAAAAGTTACCTGCGCTCGCTCTTTAATCCCTATGTATATTTAAACAAATGAAGGTCATTTAGTTACTCCAATGGCCACTGGAGGGAATGGCCGCCTGCCAACATCAAGGCAGACCCCCCTAGACGGGTCCTACTCTGACCCTTCAACTTGCCTCCCCGAGCCTCTGGCAATGATCTCTGTAACGGACCGTTTTGCCCAAAAGTGGTTAAAAACCGTTTAGGCGATATTTCCCTTTTTCAGCTGCACCGACAGCTACTGCAAGCACCAATCTCCTGAACTGTAAACCCACAAATTCACCAACTCCCGAACTGCAACCAAGGGAATACTCGAAACTCCCGAACTGGAGACACACGAATAGCTGCTAGCAGACGAACAGGAAAAGCCTCCAAGCGGCTTACACTCCTGGCAATCAGTCTCTAACAGCATACAGTAAATCCTCCCCCAATAATGAGACAACACTTCACTTTGAGGGTTAAGCAGGAAATCATTTACTGGGGCTAGCTGCCCGGCTTTTATGCAGGTCTCCCACCTGGTGGACACTCCCCTAGGGGACCAAATGGGAGACTGGGACACAAAGGGTAAAAGGACCAATCACAGACTTACACATGTCAACCATCCCACAATGCATCACAATCCCTCCTCTCTGCTCTGGAGATAATTGAGAAGTAATTCAATTATCTCCAAAGACAGAGGCAAAACTCCATTAACCACATGGCAGAAAACAAACAGTAAAAGACATAAAATTACCTACAGTTACATTCAGTACATAAAACATATACGTTCTACATATCCCCAGATAGCTCAGGTCTGAGCGCACATTATTAAGCGAATGGCGCTCAGACCACACGAATACAGTTTAATCGCCATGGAGCCAAAGTCTTTACACAGTCAGTTTCATGCGAATGGGCTCCATGGGATTCCTATCTGGGGCACAACACACTCAAACAAATCTACCGAACACCCGGCAGAAAAGCACGAATAAGTCTTTTCTGCAGGGAAAAAAAAAGATGTCTTTTAACATGGGGCCATAGTCCAAAGGCAGCATGCGAGCAACCAGGCTTCTCCAGTGTACAGTGGCGAGGTTGGTTTCGCCACAATCTCTAATGAGACAGAAAGGGGTATTTTTATATAAACCCCTACGTACTTATTAACCCTTAATAGGGAACACATGGGATGGGCGGCAGCATTTGTAACCTAGCTGTGTGATACAAAAAGTGATCTCAAAGACCTCAAAGGTCCAGACTTCCTGTAGTCTGATGTTATACATACAAGACATTTTCTTTGCAGAATTTTCCTTAACTTTTATTTCCTCCTTTGTTGTTGTTTTCATTGCTGTGACAATTTTCTGCTCCACTGACTAGCTCTAATAATTTCATAGAACGCTATGATGGATTCTTTTGATGAATTCTCTCCCATGGTCAATCAGATGTTCTCCTGCTCATCAGTCCCTCAAGAAATCTTTAAAATTCCACTTATTTAGGAAAGCATAACAACTACTCAGCCACATCTCCCGTTCACATCTCCTGTGTTTACTAATACTAGACTCTGCTTTTTCTCTGTTGATATAATATTCAGGGTCTTACAGTATACACATAACTATTAAATTTAACGTTAAGTATAATTCACTTTACCTTTACTTTTTAATATTATTATTTATTTATACAACGCCAACAAATTCTGTAGCACTTTACAATGGGTGGACTAACAAACATGTAATTGTAACCAGACAAGTTTGACACACAGAAACAGAGGGGGTTAAGGGCCCTGCTCAATGAGCTTACATGCTAGAGGGAGTGGGGTAAAGTGACACAAAAGGTAAGGGAAGTATTAGGGAAGTAGATTGGTAGAATAGTATTCAATAAAGACTTAGTGTGGTTGTTTGTTTTGAGCCATTAACAGATGAATTGACATGCTTTTGTGAAAAAGTGATTTTTTTGAAGGAGTGGAGACTGGTTGAGCGTCTAATGGAGAAGGGAAGGGAGTTCCACAGGAACTGTGCAGCCCTAGAGAAATCTTGAAGGCGAGCATCAGAGGTGGGAGTAAGGACAGTGGATAGACGTATTAGGGAGGATAGATAGGTGGTGGTAGCATTATGAAGAGATTTGAAAGCAAAAACCAGAATTTTATATTGAGCACTATATCTTAAGGGAAGCCAATGCAGGACTGACAGAGGGGTGAGGCATGGGAGGTGCGGGTGGACAGAAAGATGAGTCTCGCCACCGCATTCATTAT